CAGTGCTGAGAGTCATTGCTCGGCATGAGCATTGACAAGGGTGGTGTTCGATGACACCACCAGGTAGGTAACCAAGGACCACTGACTAGCGGGTAACTTAGTTCCGCACAGAGCATGTAATGCTGAGGAGGCCGCTCAAGGCACCTCCGGCGTGGGTAACCAAGTACCACGGACGGTCGCCCAGACCTTAACTGAAGAGGAACGCGCTGCACGCGCTTCCTGTGTGGGTAACCAAGTACCACACCCGGTCGCCCAGACCATAACTGAAGAGGAAGGCGCTGCAGGCACTTCCTGTGTGTGTAACCCAGGTCCACACCAGGTCACTCAGACCTAAACTGATGAGGAAGGTGCACGATGCACTTCCTGTGTGGGTAACATAGTTCCACACGCGTCACTCAGACGGTAACGGATTGTGAAGCCGCATGATGCGCTTCCTGTGTGGGTAACGTAGTTCCACACGATGCCGTAAGGCTCCGTTTGAGCCGGAAGGAGTCGCTCGAAGCGACTTCAGCGTGGGTAACTTAGTTCCACGCACGGTCAGTATGACCAAGACTAGTGATCAGGTCACTTGGGCTTCCTCGCGTGTGGTGGATGACCACGCGGAGTTTAAGAGGCTCGTGACACCGTCACGATGTCATAGCCGCACGGTCCTCTTGAAGGCGCCGTGCGGCTTTGATTTTAAGCGGGGGAGGAGTGCGCGGAAGCACTTCCTTCCTCCAAGGGCTTGGCACCCGGTCATCATGGATGACGTTCGACTGGGTGTCGACCAGCGCAGCTGTGGCCATGCGCACAGAAGACGTGGCTTGGGTACACGACGTACCTGCGGCGATGCATGTTGCGTCGCCGACGACTCGGCGAGCATGGTCGATCACGACTGGAACGTGTCTGCCGGAGGGCGACACCTCAATGACCACATGCAGGAGCATGTTCGGTCTGAAGGCAAAGGCCGCTGCACGGCGGGGATCGTTGGTACGGTCTGTCGCGCCTAATACTGTGCGGCGTTGGGACAACAAGTGTCCATGACTCAGTGCCGAGATGGCTGAGTCTGAGTATGCGTGCATGCCATGCAGCTACTCTGAATGCAGGACAAGCCGTACGCTGTCGTGGGTGTCATTGCCCGAAGACGTGGGTAGCAGAGTAACACGTCAAGTCACGCAGACTCAAACTGCATCCAGGCTGGTAGATGCCAAGCCCTGGTCGACGATGTTGACCCAGAGCCAAAGAAGGGTAGCTGCCCGTGCCACCGGAGTCTGCTGGCACGATGACTCGGTGCTGCAGGGCGGCGCGAGGTTAGGCGGCCGGCTGGCGCCTGACCCGCCGGGGCTCAAATCGTAAGTGGGGGAGGGGATCGGAAGTGCCCTTCCTCCCGAGGTCTCTGGCATGAGATTTGCTTCGTCGTAGAAGCCAGTGTAGTGGCTGCATGGTGTAGCCACTCACGAAGTATTGCACGAAGGTGCTGGACCTGATGCATCGCTGCTCAGGTCCCATGGTCATGGTGACCGATGGCCAGCAACCTTGGCAGCGGCTACTGTCGCTGCTGGGCCGAAGATGGCGCGCGCATTCGCTGCTGGAAGGCTGCCTCTATCAGGCAAAGACATGGCAGCCAGTCTGCGGCTTGGTCCGCGGACGATGGCATGTGTACATACGCAACACCATGCCGCAGCGTGATGCTGTTGCAACACTGGACGCGGTACGTCTACCGGCCAGGTTGCTATCAGTCCCGAGCATGGGTGTTGCCCACGAGAGGAGAACCCGAACGTGTTGCCTTTGCAGACATTCACAGTTGGCGCGGCACATGCCGCACCTGTAAGGCGCGAAGCCATACGCGTGCACGTGGCACATACTACCTGTGAGATAGTCGCGGTGCGTGACGCTCACTGTGTGCGTGGCCCTTGGTGTACGCGAGGTACCCCTAGTGCACGCGACATTTCTTGTGCACGTGGCACTTGAGGTGCACGAGGCACTTATGGCAGTCGTGGTACGTGCCATACACGACGTGCCTTTGCTGTATGAGGTGGTGCCCTCGTACACCTTGAGGTCCTGTATGGACTGTGTGCCATGCGGTCTTGCACGCACACCGACCTGGTGTTGGTCGCCGCGACGCAGGATGCGATCGCCGGTGACGGAGGGCAATACACCCCACACCACGATGAAGTACCCTTGCGGTACCCTGGTGTCGAAGGAAGACACCTTAGCGTCGGCGACGTGATGGCCGTGACGCGCTGCAGGGCTTTAGACAAGTCCGCCGCGTTGCTCTGTATGATGAGCGGGTTGCTGGAAGCAGCCATGGTCGCTCAAGCAAACACGACGTTGAAGCATGACGCTTCATGGCTGTGGTCAGCGCTTGACCATAGCCCATGGGTCGAGCCGACGTATTCGGCCGACCGGCACACCGTGCTGTGACGAGTGGGGCCCTGTCCGGCCGCTGTCATGGCCGGAGATGAGCAGCACAGCTCTCTCCATGGTTACGCTACGCGCTGACCGGAAAGGTGCTGTCCCTCGCGGGAGGCACTGCAGCACGAACGTGCCAGCGGGGCCCGAGGGCCATGCGACACCAACTACTGGTAGTCTACGAGGGACACCGCAAGTTTGGAGGCACATGCATCCCGTGCCGAGGCACTCTGCGCCTGCTAGCGCTGTGAATACGGCCACTAAACGCGTCGGCTTCGCGGCCAACATCGCCGAGGGCAGGGGGATTCCGCGCGGGGTGCCCGCTGTGGGCACAAGTCACTGTGGGCGTGACGATGAGGCGCGCCAGCCTTGCGGCGGCAGCGCCCGAGAATCCGACCTTTGGGTGTTCCGATTCTCTCGAAGCTGATTGGAGAATCAGATGTGATTATCAGATAAGTGGGGGAGGATGTAACGGGGTACAATCAAGTGTACCCATTACATGAAGAGTGACGGGTGTCACTCTCCCGAGTACATGGTACATGGTACCAGTAGCTCCGCAAGCCAACCATTTGAGTTTGCGTGGGCTTTTGTATAGTTAACTTGTAGTTTGTATTACGACCAAGTTAACCTCTACCAAAATACAGTCAGTCTTATAACCTACTCCTTTGTAGCAAACCGTTCCCTTTGAGGCCGGGAACTGGTGAACTGCTGTTCACCTGGATAGTAATATCCGCACGCACTTCCTCTGTGCATTGTGCTGTGTGACCCCGTCACATTCGGCATCACAAAAAGCGTTACCAGCCCAACTCTCTAGTTGACTCTTTTATAAATTTATTGATTCTTTGTTATTAATACATGTTATTAATATTATCTGCGCTGCACACTTTTTCAAGATGAATCGTACACAACTGTCTAACTCCACAAACCTGCTAGCCAGATTCACTACACACTTACAGACAGTTTGTAACGCCAGTGTTAGCTATACAGCTAAGCGTGCGAACACTACTCATACGTGGGAAATACAAGATTTTGCTTCCAATAGCGTTTTCACCAGGTTTCTTAGTCCTACGTTGAGGATGTAGGAGAACTTTGAGAAGTGTCTCGAACTGAAAGTACCAATTTCCATTATTAGTGGGGACCCGGGTGGAGGACCCCGGGGGATGTCGTAGTTCGAATCTAGCTTTTACGGATATTCGTACTCGGGTGCGTTGAGCCTGGGCATCTTCTGCGCCTGCAAAGCAGGGGCAGCATCTGCTTACAGGGCTGACACATCGGGTTTAATCATTAGGTTTTAATATAGGTTTTATAGTAAAACCTGTTAGCCACCAAAACAGCCAACAGGTTTTTCCCAGAGTCAGTTGACTTGGAATTAGAAAAACTAGCTTGACCAATCTGTTCTATTGTGCTTTATCAACAAGTACACGACGTCCTAGCTTCTAACTTCGACGCGTGCTAGGAGGGTACCAGAAAACAAGGTGGTTAACAGTTGCTAGGAAGGCAAGTTGAAGTTACCTTCTCATAGCCAATCACAACTGCCGAATACAGTATGTCGACCAATCAGGTTCCAGTATCCTGGGTATGAGGCTCGTACGTACCACAGAATTAGACATCATAGTGTTCGATTGAAGGAACTTCAGCTTGCTTATCGCGACTTAAAATAGATAAAGGGGTGAGAATACAAGCGGCTGCTCACTCTCAAGACTCCCCTCCGCACAGCAAGCATGGGTGACCACGAGGAAAAATGCATCGCGTACATGCTTGATCCTCGGTATGTCGGATGCGGAATGGTTCCTGACACATACGATCGATATGAAGATATTATCGTCGACTTTCCTGCGTCTGATACAGCTCCATCACTCGTGACACCACACGAAGCAAAAATATGAGCGTGGAGCTGACTGCTTTCCAAGTGTACTGCAATAAGATGAAGACGAATCAAGATCGACGTTATTTGGAGCTCGAAGAGAAGGTGAAAAGCGTATACGACTTTTGGGTGACAACGGGTTCGCGGTGGCCGACACTCAGAGAGCTGGCTTTGAATGTGTTCAGCTTAGTCGCTTCGAGAGCTGCATCCGAGCGCACGTTTTCGACTAGAAGCTTCATCCACAACAAGCTTAGAAATGCGCTGAGTGCACCGAAAATCGAAAAGCTTCTTTACATCAAGGCCAACCACAACTACAAGCGCGAAAACGGCGATAGTTACGAGAATGACCAAGAACTCAGTAGTGAAGAGTACATTTGCATTAAAACTAGGTTCTATTGGTTTAAACCAAGGTAAAACCAAAACCCTAATTCCATTTCAAAAAATCGACAGATTTTACCAGCCCTGGTCACTGAAGTGTGCACCAATTCCCCGGTATAATCCTCTCTTTTAGATTACAGTGTTGTCGATGGCAATAGAGCTGAGCAATTCCATGTACTTGAACATTTAGTCACTGCTAGGCTAACTAAATACTAACTACTTCTAACTAATTTGAAGTAGCTACTAACAGGATACCCTCATGAAGGCAGCAATCTGTTTGAGGAAGAAGAAGAAGTTGATTAACTGCTTAATGAACGTCTCGTTTTGCTAGCTACCTCAATATAAATAGACTAAGTTGTTGCGCTAGTTATTGACGGGGAATCCAAATCCGTCTTGGTGACGGGGGAATAATTTCTTCACAGGGTTCTTCGAATCCCAATCTCCGGAGGGTAACACAAACTGCATGTTTGCCAAATCCAAGCTCTGTTGAATGCCGAAAAATAAGTTGGCAATGTCGGCCAAATGTCGCCTTCACGCTTTGTGTGTTTGGCTTGTTAGCGTCCGTCTCATGAAAGTAGATATCATTACGAAGTCTCCATATACCATGAAACGCTATGGAAGTATGCACCCTCCAAAGCAGCACTTCCTTCTGATGCCGTCTCCAATTTGCTCTGAGATCTCGCGGCTTGGGAAACAGCAGTAGCCACCAATCTAATTTTGCAATAAACACTTGGCTCCAAGGCCGCCACATTGTGGTCCACACCTCATCCAGTGCTGGGCACGAAAAGAAGCAATGCTCAACTGTTTCAATTGCAACGCATGATCTTCGAACACACTGCTGCACGGTGGGATTCAGCGACTTCAAAAAATAAAGTCGTGACCCGACGATAAGATCACCAAGGAAAAATCTTAGCGTCACCTCGTGTATAACAGGAATGACGCATCTTTGAAGCCAATTCCACTCCGACAGCGTTGAGTGGATTAATGGCGTTGGGCATCCCAGCAAAGTCATTGGATGGGTGCCCACTTCGTCATCAACTTGCAGCAAGATTTTCCAATCTTGCTTGCGAAGGTGGGGGAAATATCTGGTGCCATTTCCGAGTGGAATACCATACGTCGGGGGAATGGTTTCACATGTGACAACACTCATTCCACCATCCTCTGGCCGCGGCAGGACGTGTTTAAAACTTGTGTGAGTTGGCGATACAGCAGCAGTATTTCTTCAAGCTCAATTTGCGTTTTAAGCTGATGCTCGAGAAGTTGTGATACCTTGCTAAAGAAATCGAAAGCCGAAGGCCATCGATGAGAATAATCCAAAACATCAGCAAAACAACACACTTCCCTGGCTGAGAGCTCGCAACACAATCGTCTAAACTTGATATAACCTGTTCCAACAGGCACTCGCTGAGATTCAGTTCCCACTTGAAAATCAGACATTTTACTCCACCATATTGGACTAAAAGTGCGTATTGTAGCTCCTTGGTTCTAGTGACGGGAAGTTGGGATCGACGGGGCCACACCAGTTTATTCCAGTCGCGAATCACCTTGCGCCACCATATTGGTAGCATCGCTGCTCGCCATCCTGGTGGACGTGGAGGATCTTGAAGGAGAAAAACTCCAGACCATGGCCGTGAGTACAGACCATAACGAATTCTCAATAGCTCTGCAATAGGTCGGTACCACACAACCTCTGAGTCGCTATCACGAGTTTCAAGTGCTTGGACAACTTGCTGAAGCAACATTAAGTGCTGGCGCTGAATGTTGCTAAATGAAAACTGCAATATCAGGCACACCAATGCCATCTTTTCCCTGCGCTTGAAGGGCAAACTTCTTGCGAACGATATTAATTCCCGGTCCGACGCCAACACGATTGTATAGTATGTAGCGCATGACTACACGCCACCGCTTGATGAATCGAACTGGGATATTAGTTGTAGTTGTAAAGTACCACAGCAAAGACAAAATTATAGCTTGAACAACTAAACGCCGACCCATTAGGGTTCTCGCTCTACCTTTCCACAACTGCAGTCGAGCCATTAGCTTATGTTCAAGCTGCGCTGCTAGCATGGATGACGTATCTGCATTTCCAAATGGTATGCCGAGGTACTTGACGGTATCACCTTTGCGCAACGACCGAAGAGGTCCCAGGTTTGGAGAGGAATGACGGTTGTTCATCGAGCCTCCTTCTCGATGATGACCGTGTTGGACTGATTCAGTCGGCGATGGACTTCCGTTGCGCCCTCGCGGATATGAGCATTCGCTGCACGATGTAGCTCTTGTGCTGGCGCTCGTGCTTGCTCACGGCCACAGGCTAGGCCTGGAGCTCCAGCAGAGGCACGTTCGAGGCACTGAGTGTGTCCTGGATCGTGTTGAGGTTGTCCTTGAGGTTCATCACGATCTCATTTCGGTTTCCACGGCCTTGCGACACTCGTCAATGAACGAGTTAATGCCTTCGCTCTTTCTCAATGCCTCGCCCAACACACGCGTTGCTGTTCTGGATGTACCGACGCACCAGCGACTCCTCCAGCGGGTGAACGCCCTCGATCATGGCGTTGTTCGTCTCCACGGTGTACATGATCTCCCCTCGGCACTTGTGGAACATCTCCCCTTTGGCGGAGGTCTGCAGCGCCGACTGAGGCACCTCAACGTTGAGCAGCCGCAAGTACTTGATTTCGCGAGCACTGGGTCGAAGTTGACGCGAAGGAGCGCGTCTGCGGGTGACGCAGCAGTAGTGGGTACTTGAGCTTAGATTGCGAAGACGCCTCGACGTCGCGACTCCACTCCTCCACCTTCTGGTTCTCGTACTCCTGCATCGACGCCATGATGGTGCTGTAGACCTTGTAGACCTCCTTGGCCTCTTCGCGCTCCATCGGCTCACGCAGCTTCTTCATCGGGTGCTCGATACGCTCCACCAGGCCACGACACCACGTGAGATCGCCGGCCACTGACGGCAGGTTCCAGCTGATGAGGGGCTTAGACAACTGCCTGACCGTCTTCGGGCGCCGTACACTGCTGGGGCTCGTTCGAAGGACTGCTCAACCGCTCCATTATCCAGGTCGAGCTCAAGAAGAAGTACGTGGCGCTCGTGCAGACCTATGGACACGACCTGAAGCTCGTGTAGGAGCTCTTCTTTCACTGTCGTAACCCCCCCCCCCCCCTCCTGCGTGAGCACGGAGCCCAGTCGGCGCTCGAGCTCATTCATCTTGCAGCGGAAGTCGTAGAAACTTGGAGGCCCCTATATCCATGATGTCGAGCGACACGCCCTTGAACGTGTTGACGCTCGTGTTGACGCTCGTGTTGACGCTCGTGTTGACGCTCGTGTTGACGGCCTTGGTGAATTCGGCGTGGATCTGCATATCGTATCCAATCCAGT